GCTATCGGTAATTGGAGCAATAATCACAAACAAGCAGAATCGCCACACAGCATATGCAAGACAAAATAATAGAACACTGTGACAAAATTAGCATATGATGTGCGCATAATATATTTGTATTTGGTGGTGTTTCTAGAAAAGTTCACACTGTTTCACTATTTCGCACTGTGGAAATGTGCATGTAATAAATACAAGATCCAACCATATTTTGTCTTAAGGTAGAAGCCTAGTCATAATTTTTGACAAAATTGGTCATAAATCGCATGACAATGTTCATTAGTTTATTATGTACAATCATGAAGCTAATGTCCCATGGTATAATGAAATAGCATTATTTTTCGTGTTACAGTTATGCTTTTTGAGAAACGTGTCCCAATATTTCTTAAAAATTGCTATTTTTAGAACAATTCCATAGAACATAATGTTAAAGAAAAATTGCATTTTTTGATACTTTTTAAAACCCAGATTTTTTTAATAATTCAGAACAACAAAAGGTACTCCATCATTAACAATATATGATTTTTTCAGCCTATGTCACCAGGCTAGATTTTGAGATATTGCATAATATCTCTGCCATGGGAATCTGTGGTAAAAGTGTTATAATAGTGTCAAAATGGCGACTTCCCACTAAAATACAACCATCCATTTCTCGAAAAAAAGGCTGGTGACCCCAACTTTTTTTAAGGTCAATATCCTTATATTGCCTTGGAGTACAATTTATTGCAAAATGAATAAATTCTGGGTTTTTTAATTTATAAATAGGCTTCTACCTTAAGTTGATATCAGTAGAAACGCATGATTACCGCCAGAGTAGCATCAATCCTCGCCTGTGGCTCAGATTGATACAGAACTCTGGTGGTAATCACTTGTGGCTGCTGACGTCAACCATTTGAATATCGTGGGATTATATATAATGATATCATGCACATCCTGTAGAACATCATGTTTTAACACCCTTGTACTAATTTGCTTCTAGTCATTTGGCAGCTGACAAGAAAGATGAAGAGATTGACAGTCAAAATATGGAAATATTAGAAAGAATAAAATTGAATCAAAGGAGAGATTACTTGAAGGTAATAAGCATGATCATTTACACCATCCTGTCCATATTCTTTTCATAGCTCTGGTTTCTTCCAAAGTTGTCAACTGTGATGCAACTGGCCAATTCCTTTTTTCTTTTTCTTTTTTGCAGTCTCATCATTCCCTGCCTTCTTGATGATCTTTCCTTGTGTATAGGCTATATAGGATTTCATTTCCTTCATCTAGGATTTGTAATAAAATGTTGACATATTATAAAACATATTCACATGTTCACTACTTTGGGAAGGGTTGGGTACTTAAATTTACATAATGCCTTGTTGTTGAATTTTCATCACATCATTTTCAGTGTGCAGCTCAGACAACAAATCCATGTATGTATATTAAAATTTACAGGTTGTAAATACTACATTTACTAGCAATCACAATCGTCAGTTGAAAATACTGTATTATTGGTGATTCATTAATAGTTTTGGAATCCCCATTAATTGGCCTGAATTGGCATGTCTTGATGTTGTCTCATTGACACTGAGGGGATACAGATGATAAAATGACCTGTTTGTTCTCTGTACTTAGATTGAAACATACTCCTATACCATCATCTCCATGCATTACAGTTGTTGTTGGAGCATGCTAACTTATACTGAATATTGTCTTTATACATTATTAGGGTGCTGTATCTGGGTCTGTGCAAGCAACAGATAGGTTAATGAAAGAATTACGCGATGTATATAGGTCTGATAGTTACAAAAAAGGTGTCTACCAAGTGGATCTAGTCAATGATAGTCTGTATGATTGGAATGTTAAGTTAATGGCGTAAGTATTATATTTTCATCACCTTGTTGTCCGGCTACTCTTTCTTTCTTTGTGTTTGCATTACTATTGTTTCAGTGAGTCATTCTTTGAACGATAATGTTTATGTAAATGTTGCTACACTACACTAAGTTATTATCAACATTGCTACTAAATGTACAGCAATTGCTTTGAATGTTTATTGAAGTTGTTTTGCTACAATAAAGGTTGTTTTGATACATTCGAGTCGCACCCAGACTTCATGTCGTCAACATTGGTGCAGCCGACAACGCATTTATTTTCAAGTTATTATTAGTAGTAGAGTAAACCTCTATATTGATCACAATATATAAGAGTAAATTTAACCTTGTAGATTGTACAAGTAAGATTGAAGTCTTGAAGACCGAATATTTCAGTGTGATACAAAAATTCAAATTCACATGAAGAATGGTTGGTGTTTTCATTACACTACTTTTAACACAAATCCTGTGGCACATACATGTAGTTATATTTTCGAGAGGGAAATATCACCATGCATATAGTCAAGAACAGTAATCAGCCAAATACTTTTCCAACCTAAAATGTACTGTGCGCTGATTTTATTTGTTTATATAACTGGCTGAAATACTTCGGAATGTCGAATTTGTATGACAGTTATTTTCCATTTTTCTTGAAATATACTGAAGGGCAAAATAAATGAAAAAACAGGTGGTTCACCCAATATTTTGTGTTTTCTTTTGAGGACGACTAAGGTACAATACTACAATTGAAACCAACAAATACACACAAATTTATACACAGACATATTCACACGCATACAGTACAGTAGTTCTATTTTGAAGGATGTTGTGGCTCTGAAGGGCTGTTTGATTTGTGTCGGCATGCACCCCGTCCAATGTTAACCAGCTGGCAAATTCAGCGAAATTGTATGTACTCGTTATCTTTCAGATATACTTTTAAATATCACATATATTGAACTGCAAACTATAAGGTGGTTAAAACAAAAGTTCAACCCCTAGTCGTCATGACTGCCATGATGAAACCCGCAGTTGTTTAAAATACATTTTCAGTTCTCTGCACTTCCTCAAACAATGTCAAAATCATTGGATGCCCATCAATAATGTCGGCGTAGTCAATCATGGATGTGCTTAAAAACAAATTTACAGTGTAATTTGCATTGGTGGCGTATCTCTGGATTTCTACTGCAGATTTTCTTCTTTCAGCGTGACCATACACAGGATTATCGGTTGTTTTAATAACTGACGATTCATCAAAGTAGTGGAGTTGTTCAACATCATAATTGGTGACAGTATCCATAGAGTCCAATCTTAGTTACGTTCTGTCCTAGACTCAGCGGCAACACTGGTTAATTTCTTTTGCCTCATTGGCAAACTTTTTGTGATAGCACAATGAATGGTTGAAAAAACACAGGACAGTATCGATGGTACACACATTTTCGCCGGTCAACTTTCTTCTAATAAATCTTCTTCAAATCAATACCTGGCTTGATCTTCTTGTATAATTCGATGTGCTGTAATAAGTTGTCAGTAAGCTTCACGCATTCCGAGAGACTGCCAGCACATCATCAATTTTGCCAGTTGATGTGAATTTATTGCATATATTATAAGAAGTTGATTTCATCACACCAATCCTTTTCACTATGTTAGCTTAAGACATTCCGTCCAATGACAGTTTGACTATTTTTTCATAAATCGAAGACGGGGTCGGCAATCCTTGCTTACTCCGCAACATGATGACTCTGAATGCCACATTCCGTGCGTGGTCCAGTGCGTGGTCTGATGCTGGTGACATGAAGTCTGGGTGCGTCTCGAATGTATCAAAACAATATTTATTTTAGCAAAACAACTTCAATAACATTCAGAGCAATCGCTGTACATTTACTAGCAATGTTGATAATAACTTACAGCAGTGTAGCAACATTTACATATACAATATCATTCAAAGAGTGACTGAAACGATAGTAAATAATAATGTCAGATGATGTTGTTTATTTGCTAGGATTTAGTGTCTAATTTGTTTCACTTGAAACATACATATAAAAATTGCCTGCTGAAAGCTTCAATGGATAGCTCAAAATGAATGCAGTCGATATGTTGATATGCTTGGTCGGATTAACTTCTTGTTAGAAATATGAATACTGTAATCCCAAATGAGCTGATGACTCGCAGGGTCATCATCAGATTTGTCTGAGCCAATTTACCTATAATCTACTCTATAACTGCGATTGGAGCACTTTTAATACGTCTTTGTTTACTTGCTACCCACAGGTATAGTGTAGATCCAGACAGTCCATTACATAGTGATTTACTTACATTAAAAGAAAAAGAAGGCAAAGATCATATCTTGCTCAATATGACCTTTAAAGTAAGTTGTATGCTTCTTGTACATTCATGACAACCAATAACTCCTCTCCCTCTTTCTCCAATAGTGCATTACATGAAAGGCGCAAACCAAGTTGCTGTCGCGAAAAATCAAATGATTTGATTTTGAACTTGATTTTTTTTATAACTCAGAAAAGAATTTGGTTTGAGATATCCTTACTGCATCAAAACTAAACATCATCAAATGTGTAAATCACATTATTAATATTTATAAATGCCCCCAAAATATGTTTTGCTTTTCTATTGAATTTGTTAAATGAACAATGTATTTCACGTGAGTTGTGTACATCTGATGGTGCCCATAGCAACGGAAACAATGTGGCACCCTGGCCGTAGTGCTTCAAATTACATAACCGTAATGAACCCTAGTGAAACTTCTACTTTTGTAAAGTTTATAGATTTTTTTTCACTCACAAAATGTGCATAAAATTAGAAGTTTAAATCAGTGTGAAGTACTTTCTACTTTGGTTAGACAGGAAACATTTAGATCATCATTATTGTGAAATGTATGTCTTGTGAAATAAAATTGGTTCACGGTACTTTCCCAACTACTATTTCAGTAGTCATATTTACTGTGTACATTGGTTACTTTATGTTAGTATACAGTCTCCACCAGTTCAGTGTTTTCACTTAACCATTTCAAGTGTATGCATAGAAAGCAATGTGCACATTTTGATGACAGAAATGTTGATATGTCTTTTTACACTACGTTTTCATGATTCTCGTACATCTGTGGTATGATTGCACAGTATCATATATACTTCTCACAAATCGCTCTGAGAGCCATGAAGTCAAATCCTGTTGTATTTTTCCATTCTTTTCTGTTGTCATGTTGACTTTACCGGTAGTTGATTTCAAACCTTTGTCATTAGTTATTCGATATATTTCTCTTTGGTAACGTGATTCTTTTTCTTTTTTTTACCACCCAGGAAAATTTTCCCTATGAACCACCGTTTGTGCGAGTGGTGTTTCCAGTTCTTACTGGAGGTTATGTGCTCGGCGGTGGCGCAATTTGTATGGAGCTGCTAACAAAACAAGGCTGGAGTAGTGCGTACACAATAGAAGCTGTAATCATGCAAATATCAGCAACATTAGTGAAAGGAAAAGCTAGGATACAGTTTGGAGCATCTAAAGTCAGTGTGAGTATAATAGATGTGATACAATATTATTTGATTATTCCTATACTGATTTCTGTTGGAGTTGTCATCTTGGCTCTGTGATATAGAAACAGTTACTGTGTTCTCTTGCTAGTACAAATGTGCATCTTGAACATATTTGTACCAGCAAATTAGGGTTATACCAATAAATTAAATGTGTCTGTCTAAAATCTATTTTGAAATGAAATAGAATATTTGCTGGTCTATACCTACAGACTTGTAGTTTATTTTTGACTCCCGTGTGCAAAGCACAAAAAGGGAGTCTCTGCAGTTAGTGTGTCTGTATGTGTGTGTGTGTGTGTCTGTCCGTCTGTTCCACTGATATCTCAAGAACCATACATCAGTTTTTGATGAAACTTGGTGCATAGATGCTCTGGGCCAATGCGCAGATTTGATTAGGTTTTGGTAAAAAGCTATGCATATTAATTACCTAATTTGCCTGATAAGTAGCTGATTTTTAGCTGTTCCATGACTGTTCCACTGATATCTAAAGAACCACTCATTGGATTTTGATGAAACTTGTCACACATATGCTCCAAAGTAATGCACCAATTTGATTAGTTTTGGGTAAAAATCTGTGCAATATTAATTACCTAATTTGCATAATGATTAATCAATTTTCGGCTTTTCCACTGATATCTCAAGTACTAATTACCATATTTCAATAAAACTTGGTACATAGATGTCATAGGACACTGCACAAACCTGATAGTTTTTAGGGTAATATGAGTACATATTAATTACCTAATTAGCATAATTATTTAATTTTCAGCTTTTGATATTTCAAGTAGTAATCATCACATTTCAATGACACTTGGTACATAGATGTCACAGGACACTGCACAGACCTGATAGTTTTTAGAGT